CAGTTATTAAATGAGTTCCCTTGAGATTAATGACTGTGGAAGCAGAATTGGGTCGGGGGAGGAGATGACTGTGTTAGTCTATTTTGTGTTTCTACAAAGGAATACCTGAGACTGGGTAATTTATAAAGAATAGATGTTTATTTGGCTCATAGTTCTGCAGGCTGTAAAAAAAAAAAAAAAAAAAAAAAAAAAGCATTGTTCTGGCATCCGCTTCTGGTGAGGGATTCAGGGAACTTCCAATCAAGGAGGAAGGCAAAAGGGAGCAAGTGTGTCACATGGTGAGAAAGGAGCAAGAAAGAGGAGGAGAGTCCAGACTTTTTTAAACAATCAGCTCTCATGTGTGAACTAATAAAGAGCACTCAGGGTACCAAGCCATTCATGAAGGATCTGCCCCCATAACTCAAACATCTCCCAGTAGGTTCTACCTTCAACACTAGGAATCAAATTTCAACATGAGATTTGAAGGCACCAAATATCCAAATCATATCATGTGCTGTGATGTAGACCCAGTGATTGCTCAGCCAACTTCAAAAGGCTCTCCAAAGTGAGACAGCCCTTCAAAGCTGCCGTGAGTTAGGCTGAGATGGCTAGATCTTTATACTCCCAAATGGATCAGTCAATAGATGAGTGCTATCCTGAGAAAAGGAGTGACCTTGGGTGACTCTGAAGAGGTGACTCTCTGCAGCTGATGCAATATCCAAAGGGTCTGCTGCTAAAGACCATGTGCAGATAATACTCCTAGTGATGGAGCAACAAATGTTTCATTGAAAGGAGATCTGGGTGGGGCATCACAGTGGCTACTACAACCCAATCTAAGTTAGCTTTTCAGAGTACACTAAATACTTCTTACAAAGGTTACCAATGAACCCCTAATGAGAAAGTTTAAAAGCCTCATCTTGATCTTACATGAATTTCCTGACCTTTTGGCATTGTTGATCAACTATTATGGCTTCAAAACTTCCCTTGCCTCTGCTATAGTTCACTTTTACCTTTCTAACAGCTCCTTTCGGCCATCACTCTATCTTCCTCATTGAACCACTCAACTATAGGTTCCATTCTCCATCCCCAGTTCCATTCGGGTGCCCCTTTTCTTTTTCTCCATATTCTCCTTCTTTCTGATTGATCTATCTCACCCACCTCCAAATGCCAATGATCAGATGATTCCACAGCTGCCTCTCTCTTCTGAGCTCCATGTGTATTTCCAACTGCCCAGTAAATGTCCACAACATAAATGCATTGCTGTCTCAAACTCAATTTGTCTATATTAGTCAGCTTGGGCTGCCATAACAGAATACCACAGCCTGGGTGCCTTAAACAACACAGTTCTGGAGGCTGGAAGTTCAAAATCAAGGTGCTAGTGGGGTTGGTTGTCTGGTGAGGTCTCTTTCTTTGGGTTACAGATGACTCCCTTTTCCCTATGTCCTCACAGCCTTTTCTCTATCTACGTGTGGATAGAGAGAGATTTATGCAATCTTTTCCCTTTCTTATAAGGACTCCAGTCTTATATAATTAAGGCCCCACCACTATGATCTCATTTAAACTTAATTAACCCCCTAAAGACCCTATCTACAAATATAGTCTCTTGGAGGTTGGGGCTTGAACCTATGAATTTAGAGGGGAAGACATAATCTGGTCCATAACATTCCACCACTGGCCCCACAGAATTCATGTACTTCTTGCATACAAAATAAATTCACCCTGTCCTAACATCCCTGAAAGTTTTCACTCATTCCAGCATCAATTCCAAGTCCAAAGTGTCATCTAAATATCATCTAAATCATGTATGGGTGATAGCTGAAATATGATTCATCCTGAGACAAAATTTTTCTTTAGCTATGAACCAGAAAAGTTATGTGCTTCTAAAACATAATGCTGACACAGGCATAGGATAGAAATTCCCATTCCAAAAGGGAGAAATCAGTAAGAATAAAGGGGTGATAGGTCCCAAGCAAGTGAAAAACCTAGCAGGGCAAATTCCATTAGACCTTAAGGCTTGACAATAATCCTCTTTGGATATAGGCTCTGCCCTCCATGCCCACTGGGGTGGCCACGTCACCATCACCCATGGCCCTAGGGAGCAGCTCTGACTCCTCACTCTGCATGACACTCAACACATATGTTTCTTTGTAATGTCCCCTTCCATGTGGAGGCCCTAATCCCTGAGGCACTGGGTGAGAGCATCCTGGCCCACTGAAACCCAGGAGGTAGGCCCACCATTTGAAACTGGGAAGGAAACAGCCTTGGCCTCTCAGCTTATGGTAAGAGCAGAAGCTCTGATAATCTCCAAATTGCCTTCAAGGCAATTCTTCTTTTTTTCCTGAAGGGTAAGGCATGATCTCATTCCTTTGAATAGCTCTATTCAAAGGCATTTATTTATTTATTTATTTATTTATTTATTTATTTATTTATTTATTTATTATTTCAGAATATTATGGGGGTACAAATGTTTTGGTTGCATGAATTTCTTTTGTATAGTTTGAGTCAAAGTTATAAGTGTGTTGATCACCCAGATAGTGTGCACTGTACCTTTTTGGTGTGAATTTACCCATCCCCTGTTACTCCCGTAACCTGATTGATTTCTGTTGAATTTTACTACCATATATACATATAAGTGTTGATTATTTAATTCCAATTTAATAATGAGTGCATGTGGTGTTTGTTTTTCCATTCTTGCAATATTTCATTTAGGAGGATGGTTTCTAGCTCCATCCAGTTTGTTACAAAAAGGGTTCACCATTGTTTATGGTTGAATAGTACTCCATGATATACATATACCACATTTTATTAATCCACTCATGTGTTGATGGGTACTTGGGTTGTTTCCACATCTTTAGTGGTAAAACAAAGCAATAAAATTCTACTCAACAGGATGAACAAAAATCCACCCTGCATATCAATTCTTTCAATAAATGTGAATGGCTTGAACTCCCCACTCAAGAGACATAGGCTGGCTTAATGGACACAAAGTACAAGCCAAGTATCTTCTATCTCCAGGAAACACATCTAACCTATAAGGACTCATTCAGACTCAAGATGAAGGATGAAAAACAATACTGTATGCAAATAGAAACCAAAAGAAAGCTGGTGTAGCCATTCTCATATCAGATAACATAGACTTCAAATCAGTAAAAGTAAAGAAAGACAAAGATGGTCATTATATAATGGTGAAAGGAATAATTCAACAAGAAGACATAACAATCCTAAGTATTTATGCACTTAACGCAGGTGTGCCCAGATTCATAAAGCAACCCTACTTGATCTAAACAAAATGATAAACAGCAGCACCATAATAGCCAGGGACTTAAACACCCTACTGACAGGATGGGGCAGATCCTCCAAGAAGAAAATAAACAAATAAATGAGAGACTTCAGTGGAAATCTAGAACAAATGGGCCTAACAGACATTGACAGAACATTCTACCCAAAAAACACTCAATATGCATTCTTCTCATCAGGTTGTGAAACATTCTCTAAGATTGATCACATCTTAGGCCACAAAACATGTTTCAACAAATTTTAAAAAATAGAAATTATACCATTTATCTTCTCAGACCACAATGGAATAAAGTTAGAAATCAATTCCAACAGAAACCCTCAACTCTACACAAAGCCACAGAAATTAAGCAACCTACTGCTGTATAGTTATTGGGTCAAGGAGGAAATTAAGATGGAAATCAAAAGATTCTTCAAACTAAATGACAAAAAGGGTACAAGTTATCAATATCTGTGGGATTCAGCAAAAGTAGTCATAAGAGAAAATTCATAGCCATAAATGTCTACATCCAAAAGACAGAAAGATCACAATTCAGCAATCTAAAAAAGCATCTCAAAGAATTGGAAAATGAAAAATAAACCAATCCCAAACCCAGCAGAAGAAAAGAAATAACCAAGATCAGAGCAGAACTAAATAAAATTGATAACAAAATAATTATACAGAGATTAATGAAACAAAAATTGGTTCTTTGAAAAGATGAACAAAATTGACAGACCTCTTGCTAGATTAACCAGAAGCAGAAAAGAAAGGACCCTAATAAGCTCAATCTGAAATGAAAAAGGAGATATTGTGACTGATACCATGGAAATACAAATGTCATCTCTGAATACCTTAAAAATCTCTATGCACATAAACTTGAAAACATTATGGAAATGGACAAATTCTTGGAAGCACACAACCTCCATAGGCTTAATCAAGAAGAAACAGAACTCCTGAACAGACCAATATCAAGTAATGAATTTTATTCAGCAATAAAGAATCTCTCAACAAAAGAAGTTCCCAGACCATATGGTTTCACAGCTGAATTTTACCAGATCTACAAAGAAGAACTCGTACCTATACTGCAAAAATTATTACATAACATAGGGAAGGTAGGAATACTCTCCAGCTCATTCTACAAAGCCAATATCACCTTGAAATTTTACCATTTTATTTTTATTTTTTTATTTTGCTGGCATGGATGTGGAGAGAAAGGAACATTATACACTGTTGGTGGGACTGCATACTGGTACAACCTGTTGTAAAGTAGTATGGAGAGTCCTCAAAGAACTAAAATTAGACCTACCATTTGATCCAGCAATCCCATACCTTTGGTGTTCTCTGCAGAACAAGCTTTCTCATTGTTTGTAATACACATAGACTGAGAATTTCCAAATCTTTATGTTCTAGTTCCTTTTTGCTTAAAATTTCCACCCATTTATCTTTATTATAAGCAATAAGGAAAAGCCAAACCAAACCATTCACACTTTGCTTAGAACTTTCCTCAGCTAAATTTCATCACTTGTAAGTTCTACTTTCCACAAAACAGTAGAATAGAATTCAGCCAAGTTCTTTGCCTCTTTATAATAAGGATCTCCTTTCCACCAGTTTCCAATAGCAGGTTTTTCATTTCTACCTGAGACCTCACCAGAATCATCAGCTTTAACATCCACATTTCTATCAATACTCCCTTCAAGGCAATCTAGGATTTTTCTAGCATGCACATCAAAAATTTTCCAGAAGCAGGAACCGGCATCCAGGAACAGAGCACTTCACTCCTCCCTCAGAATGAACGGAGATCAGAAATTGGATGTTTATGCCCAAGAAAAGCAGGATTTCATCCAGCACTTTTCTCAGATTGTCAGGGTGCTAACTGAGGATGAGATGGGGCACCCAGAGACAGGAGATGCTATTTCCCAGCTTAAGGAGGTCTTGGAGTACAATGCCATTGGAGGCAAGTACAACCGGGGTATGACGGTGCTGGTAGCATTCCGGGAGCTGGTGGAGCCAAAGAAACAGGATGCTGATAGTCTCCAGCGGGCCCTGACCGTGGGCTGGTGTGTGGAACTGCTGCAAGCGTTCTTCCTGGTAGCAGATGATATCGTGGATTCATCCCTAACCCGCCGGGGGCAGCTCTGCTGGTATCAGAAGCCAGGCATAGGTTTGGATGCTGTCAATGATGCTCTGCTTCTGGAAGCATGTATCTACCGCCTGCTGAAGCACTATTGCCGGGAGCAGCCTTATTATCTGAACCTGATCGAGCTCTTCCTGCAGAGTTCATATCAGACTGAGATCGGGCAGACCCTGGACCTTATCACAGCCCCCCAGGGCAATGTGGAACTTGGCAGATTTACTGAAAAGAGGTACAAATCTATTGTCAAGTACAAGACAGCTTTCTACTCCTTCTATCTTCCTGTAGCTGCAGCCATGTATATGGCAGGCATTGATGGGGAGAAGGAGCATGCCAACGCTAAGAAGATCCTGTTGGAGATGGGAGAGTTCTTTCAGATTCAGGATGATTACCTTGACCTCTTTGGGGATCCGAGTGTGACAGGCAAGGTTGGCACTGACATCCAGGACAACAAATGCAGCTGGCTGGTGGTTCAGTGTCTACAACGCGCCACTCCGGAACAGCGCCAGATCTTGCAGGAGAATTACGGGCAGAAGGAGGCGGAGAAGGTGGCCCGGGTGAAGGCACTATACGAGGAGCTGGATCTGCAGGCTGTGTTCCTGCAGTATGAGGAAGACAGTTACAGCTACCTCATGAGTCTCATCGAGCAGTACGCTGCACCCCTTCCCCGGGCCATCTTCTTGGAGCTAGCACGCAAAATCTACAAGTGGAAGAAGTGACCTACACTGCAAGGATGGGGAGAGGAGGCTCTCAATAAATTATTGTATAACCTTAAAAAAAATTTTTTTTTCCAGACTTTACCCATCACCCAGTTGCAAAGTCACTTCCACATTTGTAGGTCTTTGTTACAGTCCACACTCAAGGACAGAACTAAATTCCACCTCTTGAAAGGAGGAATATCAAATAATTTGAAGACATATCTTAAAACCTCCCAAACATCTGCCATATCCACCCCACTTTCATCCATTTTTAGACTATTACACTGGCCTCCTAAATTGTCTCCTTACTTTTAATATTTCTAAAACTCAAATATAATCATGTGGACTCCAGTGGCTTCCTGGAACTGTAGAATAAATTCCATGTTCCTTAGCATGATATTCAAGGCTGGCTGAAATTTTGCCAGAGCATTTTTAAACATTTTAAATTAAGTTTTTAGCTTTATTATCTCCATCTAAACAATCTATGTATTTTCCATGTACTTTCATACCTCTGACCATGCATTTGATCTCTCTGCCTGAATTTCTGTGGTGGATTCTTCCAAATTGTTCACCTTCTCTGTGTTTACACCCTTTTCTATGTGACTTTGCTGTTCTACTAGAGGCAGAATATACTTCTCCATCCTTCAACTATGTGACTTTCTTTGACCAATAGGATATTAACAGATGTGATGCAAGCAGGGGCTTAAATGTGCTTTAATAGTAGAACGTGCTCTCTTGCACTTCTGCCATGGCCATGAGAAAAGCTTTCTTTGGGCATCTGTTCTTCCACAGCAAAAGAAGTCTTCTTAGAATATGAGAAAAGTTGGCTGGATTACACACACATATACACACTCACACACATACCCTACAAGATTAGAGCCAAGCCTAGCAGAACTCAGCCTAGATCAGTGGACAATCTATGGCTGTGTGAATAAGAATAAATTATTGTTGTTTAAAGTCACTTCATTTTGTGGTGGTTTGTTACATAGCACAACTGTGGCAATACCTAACTAATCTCTTCCTTCCCACTTTCTTTGCTCACCAAAATTCTACTTATCCTTCAAATTTTAACTCAGATGACACTCCTTTTGAAATCTTCCCCAGTCTTTACAATGAAAATTAATTGCTTTTTCCTCTGAAATCTCATATTTTATTTGCATTTAATTACACTATCAATTTTTGGCTTCTTTCTTTAAATTTTATAATGGGTTTATAAGCTTGTTGAAATCAGAAGTCATATTTTGTCCCTATGTGATTCTCTGAGCATTGGGCACATAGTAGGCACCCAATAAATGTTCAATGGCTAGGTGAATGAATGAAAACAGTAGATAACTGATTACTAGATTAGGGGATACAAACCATAAACATCATAAGTTTTCAGAGACTAAATCACAGTGGACCAGAATACTCCAGAGTTAGTCAGGTATTTATCGCTTAGTAGCTTCTCAATAAAGATTTTATTTTAGTCATGAGTCACTGATTGCAAGGAACAGGCACTCATCCAACCCAGCTCAAATAAAGAAGAGTTTATTGAAAATAAATGACACGGATGATTGTCACAGAGTCCAAGAGCAGTACACAAAGTAAACCAGGCCTTGTAGGAGCTGGAAAACCATCAAGAATTGACACTACATGGGATCACACTGTCTTTTTCCTATGGCATCTCTGATCTATTCTTCTCTCTCACTGTAGACATGCTTTCTCAATTCACTGAACCCCTTGCTCATGGAACATCATTACCATTCTCAAATGGCTATTTCCCATAGCTAAATGGCACAGTTTCTCAGGGCCTCAATTCCATATTCCTAGAAATAGGATTGTATTGTTCCAGCTTGAGTTGCGTGGGTTAAATTAGCTGAAGGCAGGATGGGTGAGTTCACTTGGACAGTTTAGGCTCGTCTCTTCACCAAGGACTGTAGGTGGGAAACAGTTCACAGAGAAAGAATGCATGTGTAGTAGGCACCCTAAACTTGTATATTAAATATGCATTACATCAAAGAGTCAGGAACATTTCTTAGAAGAGAGGAATTAACAGCTTTTTGTTTTATGGGTATACTCAAAATCCTAAAGTCCAAGATCATCAGAACTTGTATTAGCCCGTAGAAAGAGAAGCTTATTGGCCTGTGACTATCACTCTTACATGGCACTCACAATAGGCTGGTTTTTGGAAAGAGCTTAGCACAGCAACTGACATATGACAAGCACTCAATAAACATTAGCTATTGTTTTTTGTACATGTTGCAAAAAGGTAGCATCACTGAATATTTTGATCTGTAGGTTTCTTGACATGGAGATCTTCCTATAGAATCTTCAGCCCCTATGAACTCAGATGGGAGAGGGGGCTGGAAGGAAACATCAGACTCTTAGAGCCCTTTGTGAAGTGACTGTTTTTTTAGCTATCATTGTTTAAACAGCTAACCTTGTTTGTCAACTATTTGTAAGAAAGGACATTTTCAGATGCCACTGGATTGAACATAGATGAAAAACCCAGCGATCAAGTATGTAAATGAGGTTGTGTACTGTGCACATTACTTCTTAAGAGATGTTTGGAGCAAAGAGCCTTTCCCTGGGGTGATAGCAGTGGATCTTAGCTCTCAGCTGGCTGATGGAAACCAAAGGAATGGGAATATAACTGCTCAAGAGTCATGCTGTTGAGCCATGATGATATTTGACAGAAGAGGAAATGTTATAGACACGAGAACCTTGAGGTGATTACCTGAGAAAAGGTGACCCAACACAGGATGTGGAAGCCTCTAACCCAACCAATTAGAAATTTCAGGGTTTTTAGAGCACCCCAAAGATAAGATGAATGAATGTAGTTCTAGATAGAGGGACAGCCATTGTTACTTGAGCAAGGTGCTCTGGGCCTAAAAAAGACATTGTGTTGGGCTGGCTCTCTAAACTGTAAGCTCCATTAAAGCCATCTGTGGATCTGTTATGTTCACCATTACATTATTAGAGTCTAGCATACTACCTGGTACACAGTAAAGATTCAAGACTTTACCTGATGCTGGATGTAGTGGCTCAGGCCTGTAATCCTAGAACTCTGGGAGGCTTATGAGGGAGGACTCCTTGAGACCAGGAGTTCAGGTCAGCCTGAGCAAGAGTGAGACCCCTTCTCTACAAAAAATAGAAAAATTAGCTGGGTGTAGAGATGCACTCCTTTAGTCCCAGGTACTTGGGAGGCTGAGGCAGAAGAATCACTTGAGCCCAGGAGTTTGAGGCTGCTGTGAGCTAGACTGATGCCACAGCACTCTAGCCCAGGCAACAAAGTGAGACTCTGTCTCAAAAAAAAAAAGAAAGAAAGAAAGAAAGAAAGAAAGAAAGAAAGAAAGAAAGAAAGAAAGAAAGAAAAGACTTTACCTGAGCTAGCTAGCATTTATTCATTGCTTCATTTATTCATTCATTCATTTTATCATTAATGTATTCATTCATTTGCCCATTCATTAGAGAATGCATACCTTACAGATTTATTCAACTTCAGCACCATTGGTATTTTGAGCCAGACAATATTTTGTTGTGAGAGGCTGTCATGTAAATTGAAAAAAGTTTAAAGGATCCCTGGCCTCTATCCAGTAGATGCTAGTAGCAGCCTCCTCTCACCTGTGACAACTAAAAATGTCTCCAGATATTGCCAAATGCACCCTGAGGAACAAAATCTTGAGAATCAGTTCTATCTGAATCCAGGAGTTTTACAGAGTGTTTCTGAAAACAGTGAATTTCAATGTGAAATCCAGAGGTGTGCCTGCTACCCATTTTCTCCATGGATAGAGGAAGCTGAGAAAAATAAGTCAAATTTGGACTGGGAATGTATAGTATATCTGAAGAGAAATTGGCAAGAAAGGACCCACAGCAGGCATGTCCATAATTTTTTGCTCATGTACTCCTCTAAAGTAATTTTGAGAGAGTATGTAGCCCTCATATGTATTTAATGGATTTTTAAATTTTTTTCTTCATAATTTTAAAGTGTTTCAAAAGATGTAATTTTCAGCATGTGGTAAATATTGTCATTTTTAAATAAAAGTTTTCCATATCTAAAGGAATGCAAAAATATATATGCAAGCATTTTCTTAACAGCTAAAAATATTACACTGTTCCTTTTTCTCCTTGAAGTCACATTCCACTTCTATAGAATTATACTCTAATGTATGTTTATGCTTGAAATTCTTATTGATCACCTATGATACCACTTTGCAACAAAAATGTGTATAGAAATCAAAATTTAAATTTTTTAAATGTGTGCATCCATACATTGAGAAATTTTGGTCTCAAAATTTCTTCTGGATTAATTTGTTATTAAAATTATTAGTAGTACACAATTGATGAAAACAAACATATTACAAAGTCTGATCAATAACTGTTAAATTTTAAAAGTAAATTTTTTTGGGAAAATATGCCAGTGAAATAGACTAGGCTTTTCTGCTCAACTAGTTTATGTATTTGAGATAACTTACTTACTGCTACAATGAGGTAGGATTCAATGTTGATTTTATTTCTATTTTTCATTTTTATAGATGTAAATGCAAAGAAACCTCATTCATATATATATATATATATATATATATACTGGGATAAAAGGAGGAGTACAGTTTTGTTAGAGCAATGTCACATGCTTTTTAAAAACTCTTTTCACATTATTCCCAAAATCACATAATTGTCATCGAGAAATATATATTTTTATTGTGGTAAAATATACATCACAAAATTTACCATTTTAACCACTTAAGTATATAGTTTTGTGGCATTATGTTCATTTATACTGTTGTGCAATAATTACCACCATCCACCTCCAGAACTTTTTCATTTTCCCAAAATGAAATTTCATACCTACTAAACATTAACTCCTCATTCTCCTCCCAGCCCCTTGAAACTACCATTCTATTTTCTCTTCGTGACTTTGTTTACTTTAGGTACCTCATATAAGTAGAACATACAATATTTTTTATTTTGTGACTGGTTTATTTTACTTAGAATAATGTCTTCAAGGTTTATCCATGGGTCAGAATTCCCTTCCTTTTTATGGTCGAATAGTATTACACTGTATGCTTATACTACATTTTGTTTATACATTCATTCATTATTT